CCATTTTGCAGTGTAATGATTATTTCTGACTACCGTGTCATCTTTGAGTTACAAATAGTAAAAGAGTGAATCCACCGCTATTGAGTTTACTTTGCATAGGGTCCAGGTTCTCCAGTCCAGATGCCTTATAATGCTTCAGTGACAGAAAATTTGTTCTTTGCTCCTGTGAATTTTCTAAATTTCACTTCTATTTCCACAGCAGGTTCCCCAAGATGTGCTGTTTACTCCACAGGACTAGAGGAAAGAGTATGAAGTAGCCCATGAACCAAATATTTCTGGCAACATTTCTCTGAAAGAGACTGGCAATAGTTGATGAAGCAGTAGATTTTTCATGTCTGCTCCTGTATTTTACAAGCCTGGTTGAGAGTTTGGAATTCTGCTTTCAGGATGAGGATATGAGGAGTGGGATAAATCACCTCCTCCTCTGTGCTCACATAACCTGACAGAAAGTTGAGCACAGTTCTCTTTCTACTCTGGCAGTACCCTAACTACCTAAATTGAGAAATTTAGGTTTTAAAAGAATAATTATAATCTGTCATGCAATATATGTGTTTTAAGAATCCATCAGCAAAGGCAGGATTTTGTGCAAGTTTCTATCAACAGTAAACTATGGTTGAAACTTGCTGTGTCTCCTTTCTGTGTCCTGCTGGGTGTTGAGTTTTCTTTGGTAGCACATCCTTACCTGTCAGTCACTTGCCCAGGCAGAGCTGAGTCAGACCTCAGCTCGCAAGTCCATGTCTAGAGTTGCCCCCAGCGTCCCAGTCCTCTTTGTCTGGCATTGGCACCGGCACAATTTGCCTGGGGCTGCTGGTGGCTGAACTCTGTACTTGATGACATGGTGGAAAGAGGCTTAAAATATTGCCGTAGGTGTAAAAGCCAATGTGTCACTGTCGCTGCCTGTAATGGCCTTACGTCAGTGCAATGTTATGACATGCCACACTGTTTTCTTCCACTGCAGGCCATATATAGCCTGTTACACTTTGATCTGCTCAGCAAAACAGAGTGGATTCCTTTTGTCTGTAAACAGCAGCTGGGTGAAAGGAAAGGCTAATGGAGCCTGAAGATATTTGATGGATCGGCATTAACTTTGAATATATTTGCTGACCGGATAACAACCCATATGTGTGTTGCCAGTGTCAGTTTGTAGTTGTCACTGCTTCTAGAGCACAGTTGTGGTGTAAGACAATCTGCTCTGATTTCACCTTGGGAGGTGTTGATTCTGGAGGAAAAATGTGGCCTGGCTAAACTGGTGTGCTGTGCCTTCCTGTGACCCTCTTGTCACTTGAGCTATTTCAAATAAGACTTTCCTTGTTCTTGGCAAAAAGGACATATTCTTTGGTGGGTGGCTTGCCTGTCCTGTTACTGCTCAATATGGATTTTCACATTTTTGACGTTCCAACTACGCAAATGGAGTGTCTGTACTGTTCATCAGATGCAAAGCTAACTTAAAATGACCATATGGAGGCATATGAAAGGTTTGCACTGCAGTTAAATCTGTCTGAGGATCAAGGCGCACCAAATAATTTAGAATAAATACTTGCATTTCAAAACATCTATTCTTAATCTGGGGCAAGCGTGCCTGAATCTTTACAGATAGCATCATCTTATCCTACCTCATCTCACATTTTCTAAGCAAGTGTTCATGGTTCACATCTGCTTTATTTACTGTCTGTTAGATTTAATGCATTCGTCTATATTAGAAAATTAATATATCTTCAGAGAAACATGGTTTAAAAATGGGATTATAATCCCAGGGGCCTCAAACACTCATGTTTCAGTGAGTAAAAGCAGACTTTTCTGATACAGTTGGGGCAGAAATGCTTATTGTATAGCTCATACTGTGTAAAATGATATAAAGCAGTTCTCTCTTTCAGTATTAAATCACATACTTAGTAACAAGCATGGGTTTTGAGTGCAGAATTTGTTAACTCTTACAGTAAAGTGTAGAATGTGAGATGTATTAAAATTCTTAGCATACCAAAGGGTGTGAACCAGATTTGGAAATAGGACAGTGGTTTTTAACACCTCTTTTAAAATGAGGCAGATGCAGAATAATCTAATCAAGATGTGTATCCAAAGTATGAAATGAAATCTCTTCTGAACCCAACTTCCTGCAGTCATGAAGTGTACATCCATGAAACTCTCAAATAAAGCAATGTGCAACCCATGCTTCTTCCTCTTAGAGAGCAGAGAAAATGTGAACTATTTATTATTCAACAGTGCTCCTTTTTGTGTGTGTACTGTGTACGCAATCCTGTGTTTTTTGCAAAATCCTGCTGTAAAAGTAAACCTTGAAAGCAACTGCAAGTGCAGAAGCATATGTGCCATCTCATGTGCATTCACATCAGGTCAGATGATTACATGTGATTACAAACATGCTGTTGTTTGTGGTGGAGGGGCCAGACCTCATGAAGGCTTTGTTTGGAATTGTGGATTTGCAAATGCAAAGTTTCTGAAACTACTTGCAGTGACAGCAAGACTGCTGCAGGACACAAACACAAATTTTGTCCTACTCCTGTGAAATTACAGGCACTCCTCTCTTTGGTTTGAACCTGTTTAAAGCAGGTTGAAACAAGGAAAGCTCTTTCCTTAGCATCCAAAGTAGGGAGTGCTGGGGTGAGAGGCAGGTTTAAGCCTAGAAGTGGTAGGGGAAAAAGGCCTTTTGCCTTAGCAGAAAGAGAAGGAACCACCTTCATTGCTTTCTGTGCTTTTATCTGTCTCGTCTTTACCCCATTTACCTGAAGGTCTTTTAACATTACTAAGTTCACTAATTTTTCCTGTTGCTGAAATTTTATTTAATTTAGCTGCTTTTAGTTAAATATCTGTAGCAGTAATCAATTGCCTAAACAGAGACATGTATTGCCATTTGAAATGCCCTTAGGTTCTGCCACAGAACTGGCAGGTATGACGCAGCATCTAAGGCAAATTGTTGCTCTTCTGGGGCAGCAGTGGTTATATTAAGACATCTCATGTGGGACCAGACCCTTGCATTTAGTCCATAGCCTACAGAATTTTCTTGGCTTCTTGTGTGGCCACAGGAGAGTCTCTTTCAGCAGATGGTTGTGAGTGCCTGCCTTAGGCATGGAGACAAGTCAGTCATCCCTGTAAAGTATTTGTCTGTTCTTTTACCAAGTCCAGGAGTCCAGGCAATGAGTTAAGTTTAGAATTTGATTTCATAGTATTACTAAGATTTATTGCTATATATGAACTGTGGGAAGTCCCAAAGATGAAACTAGCTAAATCTCATCTTTAATTAAAGGTGCAACTGAAATATGAATTACTATTTTTTCCTAGAATTCGTTAGTATTTAAAGAATTATGGAAAGGCTTTTATTTGTTTAATCAACCAGAGGAACTTGACTCTGCAGTGTAACTGGAAGATAAAGATATCTCTTTATATTAAGCCATTGCTCTCTGTTTTAAACTGGCTTCTCAGCTGTCACCTTTCTAAAGCAGATTTTTTGCAGCTGTGATGATCTCGGGTTACAAATGAAGCGTAGTTTGTGAGTGGTAACATTATATTATCTTTTTATTAGACTGCTACTGTAGCAGAAGAAAACAGAGGCGTATTCAGCACACAACCTGCTCCTTTAGGGTCTGCAAGCTTCTCTGTTTTCTTCCATTATTTCAGTACAGCTATTAAAAGATACTACTCTCCTTACAAGACTAGCCTCATTTATTACTGTCTTAAGGAATGCAAATCTATTAATAGTGGAAATGAGGTAAGGAGGTCAGGATTGTGAACAGAACACAAGATATAACCTTTTCAGTTCTCCCTGTCTCATTTCAATTAGACACAAAATGATAAAAAGATTCCTTTGACATTCTAAAGCAGCACAGGAAACACAGCAGTGCAGTTTAGTGTGATAGGGTTTTCAGTGCATTTGAATGCCAACAGCAGGATTCTGAGGTTCAGCCAAGTTATTCAGCACAAAGCTCCAAGAGGTAGGAAAGGACTGTTTATGCCACTGTCATCTATCATGACAGGTTCACACAGGGTAGACAGACACATCCCGTACCAGAGAAAAGTCCCTTCAATGTCATATGGTGCAAGTGAAGGCCTGTGGAGTGCAAAGCACAATGAAGTCCAAAACAGGAACTTTCCCAATTGTATAAATATACCTCTTAGCTTTATTTCAGACCACCTTGGTTTACCCTTTGAAACAGACATCATTACTTATACAGAACCTCTCACTGTAGATTTAGGGTATTTTGGCATTTTGAAACAAAACAAGAATGGAAGCAATATATTTTTTGGCTTTGATTTTAAAAGCTTAGGGACCCTTTTAAAAACAAATTTTACTGTGACCAGCTTTTGAGTTAGCTCTGCCAACAACGAATTTACAACTAAGGAGACTGAAGGCATTACCTGGTGAGGCTCATCCTGCAACACTGAGAAAAGCCTGTACAAAGCCATCTGTAGGATATTAGACATTAAAATGAGATTTAATCAGCATGTAATGGCTTAATAACTGTCTTTTGGGCTTAGAAACTAAAGTGATTTTCTGCCCCTTGGCTTTTTTGACACTGGTATTTTGATGCTGGTATTCTAAATGTGTGCAACAATAACGTTATTCTCTTCATATTGGAAAATCTTCTGTATAATGGCCACAACCTGCTGAACTATGAATATTCATTATGTTTGTTTCTTCCCTGTGCTTCTTTTCTTGCTTCCTTGCACATGTGAGAATACGTATGTATAGTTTCTTTTGTATTCTTTACATAGACTACTTTAGGGCAGGTTCTGGTCTGCCAGTGATTACTGGCCCACAGGGTGAAGAAGATTTTGAACCATGAATACTGTCTTGTATGTGCTTTGAAAGTTCTGAAAAACGTAATTTTTTTTTTGGTTAAAGTGAATTTACAAAGTTATTTGCTGTTGAAAAAATAATTTCAACTAATAATAGTATGGCATGTTAAAGAAAATATACCTTCCCTAAAATGTGTCACATAATAAAACATCATTTTTTATTTTTAGTTGGCTCATATATGGCTATTTATTTATATTGCTGTTTCTTCTCCAGAAGAGAGCTTGTCACCATATCTTGATATTCTTCAAGTACAACCCTTAGATAATAATGTTTGCTGTGGAAACAATTTGAGAAAAGTATCTTTTAAGTGTAACCTGTTCAGCTGAGGTCAGTGCTGTGCACCTGGAAAATCTTAAAGATTTATTGATAACAGTAATGAAAAAAAAAAAAGTTTAGCTACAATAATAAATAGCATTATGAATAATATAATAATGATATAAGCATTCTGCTGTTATTTGCCTCCTTGCTTGCTCAAGCAGGAACATCTGAACTAATTGATTTTTTAAAGAATGTTGCCTTTCTGGAGAAGTCTTTCCTTGGCCATTGTGGCTGTGGGGCTTCAAGATGCCATTAGAAACTGTATCAGGGCATGCAGTTTATATACAGCCAGTCTAAAAGGCCACTTCAGAAAAATCTCTCTCACATGGGGTCCATATAGTAGAGACTTGCTGTGGCAGGAAGAGTTCAAACCACTGAGTAGTGATTGTGCTCATACATTTTCTCCTATAAAAGTCAGTAAGTTTTGATCTAAGGATGGTAGGACTATTTCCTCATGTGGGTATGCATGTGTGTATGTATTTATATATACATATAAGCATGTAATAATCCTGGTAAATCTGCTACTTGTATTTGAATGTGCTAAATGAGCAGTTCAAACCAACTATAAATAATCACAATAACAGGTTTGTACTGCATGTCTATGTGAAAACCTTCATCAGATTTTTTGAGCTCACTCAGATGATACAGTGAAATCTGAAGAAATATTGTGTATTGTTGGTTGTGTATTGCTTAGGAAAGGTTAATTTGTTGTCTTTTGGAGAAATTGTCTAGTCAATATATCTAAATAATAGACCAATGGATCCTAACACATAGTTTGCTCAAAACTCTTGCCTAACGCACTTACCTTCTAATCCATGATCACTGATAAAGTTGAGCAGAAAGTTTAAGTTTCTGCAGAATCAGTAAACTGATATAAATATAGTGGCTATTAGTATTTTTTGTGTCAAAAATATTGGCACAAATAAAATCTTCCTTTAGTATTGCAATTTCTTGGTAGCAAATGTATCAATTAAAGCTTAGGAATCTTCAACAAAAGTCAGTTCCTGGGCGATGAGAACACATTTCTCTGGTCTTCTGGCAGTAGAAGACAGCTCAGCAGTGACATCGAAGCTATTGTTATCCCACATCTTCATCCAGATCTGTTGAGGAAACATAGAACAATCAATGACTTGGTGAGCTGGAAACAAACTCTAAAAATTAAAGTGAGCCAAACACAGTAAAATACTGAGTAAAGTGATGGATTCTCTATGTCTTGGTAAATTTAATCAAGTCTGAATGCCTTCTGAGATATATTTGGGCAAACACCAGTGCTGATAGCAACATAGAGGTAGGAGGGGAGCTGTATGATTATTTCAGTTTATTTCAGTTACGTATTAACTGATCTTTGACACCACAGTCGTGAACATTATGTACGTCAGAAAAAAGAAAAGCTCAGCTGCGTCTGGAAATCCATCTGTAAAATGCACAGTAGTACAGCAGATAATATCTCAGTATGGGGCACCTTGTTCTCATTCACAATTGACTGTTCCCATGTATCATCCTCAAAATCTCATGGGCATAATAGAAATAGCAGGAGTCAGAGCTTATCATAGCATAAAACCATGGTCTTGTGGTCATGACTAATAAACTACCTGTGTGAGAGAATTGATTCATATCCTCTGCAAGGCTCTGCAAGACAAGTGGTTGTTTGCATCAGAGCAACTGCCATGTAGCCAGCACAAAACAGAACAACACAGTTGTCATCTTAACTGCCACCAGAATAACTTTTTTTGATGTGCTGAAGGTGTCAACCGAGCTGTGTTTAGGTGAAAAGTAATAGATTGTGTCATGGAAGACAAGACTGGATGTAATTACTTTATTTAAAACTTATGGAAATATGAAAGGTAGCATCAAAGCTGTTTATTTTTTACAAAGAGAAAACACAGTCTGCTCTCATCAAAACTTTCAAAGGCTCAGTGACAGCTGCCAGGCTACTGGGCTGGTTCTAGCAAAATCTTTGTCTTTTTCTTTAATGTACGATCCATACAGATCCAGTTTTTCTAGGGAATTCATGGTGGCATTGGTGGTTTAGTGGCTCTTGAGCTTTGTGGCATTGCCAGTGAGATAAACACTGCTTAGACAGATTTCAGATAGAGCTTTGTATCCTTTTTTTTTTTTTTTCTTTTTTTTGTCTCCAATTGTTATGTATTTTTTGTTTTGTTTTTCTTGCCACTGGCTGGGGAACCTGGACTCCTCCAGTGACAGCTATGTCAGCTGCAGGTTGTTGGCTACACCTGCCGAGATACTTGCATAGAGGGGCAGGAACTCAACATTGTGTCAAAATCTCATCAGTACTTTAAGAGAAATACCTCTATCTGTAGATAGAGGTATTAAATATCTAAATCAGATATTTATCCCGATTTTATGCTCCAAAAGAGTCCCTGGAGAGGGAATGAAAGTCTGCAAGATTGCACCAGTACTTGATTTGCTTTCATTATCTACAGGAGTGCAGACTTTTTCAGAACAACCAAATGCCAGCTACAGAACTGTCAATGGTGCAGATTCTCAGGGCATCCCCTGAATTATTACTTATCCTGTAACAGTACCCAATCTCCTTCCACAGCACTATTCTTTTGATCAAAAAGTAGTAAAGAAACAGTTCCAGGAGCTTACTAGAAGTGGCACATTTTTGATGGTTTTAATAGAATGTTCATGCGTTACATATCTATGCAGTGCTTTATTCAGAAGTTTTTTTGATGCAGCTTGCAGAAGTAGTGATTGTTTAAAACTGTGCCAAGTATGTTTGAATTAACTACTTCTCTAAGGAAGCCACTTTGTAGTTATACAAAAGAACTGAACTTTCCCATAATACCTCAATAAGAAAAAATGCTATTTCTCTACTTATTACCCAGCTGTAAGTTGTTAAAGATGTTATTTGCAAGTTTGTGTATAACTCTTGTCTTTAGGAAAAATTTCCCTTTTTTCTTTTGTTACACAGCTGAGAAGCATGGAAAAAAAGAATACATTTGGTATCCATTCACTGCTACCCAGATATTCATTTTGTAGCATACTATATTACTTCTCAAAGTTTAGCATTCATTGAACTAGCAAGAATGGTTATAAATATGCTTTACTGAGTATTTATGATCTCATGGATGGATTTCATATGCATAGATGCATATGCAATATGCCTATGTATAAATTATGACGGAAATATATATGCTCTGGTATTTGTTCAGATACTTAAAATCCAAGTAAATCTATATATTCTTCTGTTTCTATACCTTACAGTAGATTGTTCTATTGATGTTCCACATTGTGAAAACAGCATATATTGCTTAGGCAGCTGCTGCAAGAATCATCTAAATGTGGACCAAACAATGACTGCCCTATCTAAGTGTTAAATAGAAAATTATTACTCACACGCAGCCTAGCGTGTGAGGTTGGCCCAGGCTGCATGCCAGGAGCCCACCAAAGCTGCTCTATTCTCCCCTCAGAAAATATAATGAAACACACATGGGTCAAGATCTGAGGAGAGATCACTCACCAGTTACTGTCACAGGCAAAACAGACTTGACTTGGGGAAATAATTGATTATCAATCCAACCAGAGCAGGATAATGATAAATAAAACCTGAATCCTATATAATCTTTTCCCCATCCCTCCCTTTGTACTGAGGTCAACTTCACCTCTGAATTCTCTACCTACTGCTGCCCCAATGGCAGAGTGGGATAGGTAATGGGGGTCAACTCATTACACATTGCTTCAGCTGCTCCTTCCTTCTCAGGAGGACAACTCCTCACACTCTTCCCCTGCTCCAGCATGGATTCCCTCAAACTGGAGACATTCCTTTAGGTGCAGCCTGCTCCTGCATGGGTCCCCTATGGGGTCACGAGCCCTAGCAGTAAACCTACTCCAGGGTCGCCTCCTTTCTCCACAGAGCCACAGGTCCTGCCAGGAACCTCCTCCAGCCCTGGCTTCCTATGGGGTCACAGCCTTCTTTGGGTATCCCCAAGGGCTACTTCACCATGGACCTCCATGGACTGCAGGGCGACAGCCTGTCACCACAGGCTGCAGGAGAATCTCAGCTCTGACACCTGGAGCATCTCCTCCACCTCCTTTTCCACCGCCCTTGGTGTCAGGGTTGTTTCACATATTCTCAGTTCTTTCTCTGCCCACAGTTGCTCATGCAGCTTTTCTGCTCCTTAAATCTGTTATCGCAGAGGTGCTACTACCACGGCTGATGGCTTGGCCTTGACCAGCAGTGGGTCCATCTTGAAGCTGGATGGCATGGCAGATAAGGGAGAAGCTCCTAGCAGCTCCTCATGGGGCCACCCCTGAAGACTCTGTCAGTGGTAGCCACTGCTACCAAAACCTCGACACACAAACCCATGACACTGAGTTAAGCTGTATTTTGATAAAATACAATTTTAGTGTTGGCCTCTGGTCTTTAATTTATTTATTCTTGTTTTTCCAAGACATTACACATCAGAGAGGTTCCCTCCATGTGCCATCTGTTTCCTTGCAATTGGAATGGTAGAATAATTTTCTGAAGAATTGCTGACAAGATGTGGCAGGGGAACAGTAATCCATAAGAACGAGATTTCTCATTAAAGTCACTCAGCTCATCTGTGATACAGTAAGCTCTTGATTTACACTGGTCACCTCTGGAGCAGGGAGGACAGTGACTGCTAAGTTACATTTTTTATTGCACAGGCTTATGGTGAGGTTCTTGACAGTAACTGGGATTGCTGTCAGATCAATTTTCATGGCACAGACACACTTATCTAAGTGAGATTATTCTAGTTAGACAGTTTCTCATAATAACAGATGTCATCATAAATGCCTCTTGACCTTAGTTACTTCATGATGTCTTAATGTTGGCTGGCTGTTGTCATATCATTCCTTAGGCTTCTGCTAGGAAGAGCAGGTAGACTGCACAAGATCTCTCATGAATTATAGCAGACCTCTTTTTTGGCCTCTTAAATTTCTTTCCTGTGTGTGCCTCCTGGTCTCCTCTCATGAACAGAACTTTAGTGTACATCACTGCTGCTACTCTTGCTGAGCATCCAGTTTATGGCATACTGGCACACTGGATATGTCAGCCAGCTGATAATAGTTGTAAGCAGACAAAGAAAATTTCTCTAGGACAAATATTTAATTCAAAAATTAAATATCTGCCATAGAAGCTTGGGTGGGGTGAAGAGGGTAAGGAATAATATGATAGAAATGAGAAACAAGGTCACAGAGCTGGTGGTCAGGAGTGTTGCAGGTTACTTAGTCTGGCTTCTTGCTCAAAGCAGCCCCCTGGAGGCCTCAGACCACAGGGGAGCATACATGAACAGGAAGTCTACCTGGACTTAAACAGGAAACAGAGCTATCCTCTTCCAATTGCAGAACCAGATCTTTCCACAGTGCAATGAAATCTACTTTTAAGTCATGATCAGCTCTTCCCTGCCCCTGTATTTCTATACATTATTTCATAATAAATGCCACCTGTCTTTTCAAGAGGGTCCTCAAAGCATTTGAAAGTACAGAGAAAGTTAAGCCTCTATATAATGTGAAAAAAAAAAGAAGAATCCTATACAATGTGAAAACAAGAAAGAAGAATCCATGATTATTGTGTAAACTGTCATTCCACCAGCTGGAATAAAGAATTTAATTTTCTGATAAATGGCAGCTCCTATGCTAATTTCTTTATCCTTAGTAAATAAGGAGCCTTGGGGTAAAGATCTTTTCCTATCTTACACAAATCTGAGTAAAGAAGTGTAGAAGCTCATCAGCTTTCAAGCAGAATCATGTTTAGTCTTGAGCTTCCAGTATTGTCAGGTTCACCAGTATTGTCAGGTGAATTTCAGAATGTAGGTCTGTGTGCCTTCTGGCTTAGCCACTGTTAACAACGGAAAAATGAAAAATATAAAGTTGGACTTCTATCCCTAACCCTGAAGAGACTAAGAGATGCGCTTACTTTCATATAGAAATGTAGTTAAATGATCTCAGGACATTATTTCAGCAAATTCCTGTGTTTGGAGTAGCTCTTCCCTAATTATCCATGCCAAGGTTTAGTAATGGGGTACTACACAGGTTTTAACAAGAGTGGCTGTCTGTTTAAGGTAAGATAGTCTGTCTTTCATGGCAGATCTGAAAAATAAAGTTTTTTTCATAATGTTTCACTCCAAATTTTGCCTTTAAAGTTGGTTATATTACCCCTTCCTTCTCACAAATGCTTTAAGAAAAATGTGAAAATACATATGGAGACTATTAAGAAAATGCAGATCACAGCACAAGGTAGAATATCTAATCAGAGTAGCTGTTAGGTAGATAAAAGCATACATACCTTAAAGCAGTGAGAGCTCCAGCTCTGCCATGAGGTGGTGGATGTACTGACCCATATTAGGGTGTTCTACTTTGCATTCTGGCATGCAGATTTGCTTTGGTTTTGTTGCAAACCCTCTAGTTGGGATCCTCTGGAAACAGGAGCCTAGAGGAACAGCATGATTGGCTTCAAAGATTATTTTGTTGTGATTGCTAAACCAGCTGCATTTTTCCACTAGCTCACCATGTCAGATTCACACAACCATGCTCCAGTGCCTGAGCACACTTGTAAGACGCTAAATTCAGCCAACCATCTCTTCACTCCTTAGGGGCTGAAAGAGGAGTGTGAGTGGCAGACTGTGGAGGAGGAGACTAGCAGATCACACAAAGCCAGACTGACTGATGAGTTCCCAGTCACTTAGTCAGAACCCCTTAGAACCACCTTAATAATTTAATAAGGCAGATAATATTTTGAACTAGGTGAATAGCAATGAAAGATTCTATAGTAGTCACCTCATTAGCCTTTTTTCACAAGTATGAAACATTAGAGCAAACTGTGGTTTTGTAACTCCAAGTAATTCCCAATGAAGCAACTTGAGAGAATGTTCCCAGAGAATGTTCTATGGTCCACCTATCCAGCATAGTCTTGCTGCTGGCTAATAACTTCTTGCTGTCTCTTCCTCTATGCAATGTACCCATGTGTGTGACCTCAGTCTGAATCTATGCTCTGTTTCCCAGTATACAAGCTCCATGAATTGAGATCCATAACTCTCTCAAAAGATAATAATACAAAAATCTGAGTCAGCCCAATAACTTCACTTGGATAACACTATGTAAACACAAAAATCCTTTTTTGTTGGCTGAAATATTGCCTAGAATCATTAGAGTCAATGCACAGACACTTGAATATGCTGTTAACTAGTCTTTGAAAGACTAGTAATTTTTGAACAAAAAATATGCAAAGCATTTAAGATATTGTATATGAAGATGAAAGATGTGTGGTTTAACATGAAAGCTATGGGAGTAACACTGAAATGAAGGCACTGCGTCTAAAGAATGAATTAATCAAATTATTTTTGCCAACTTTTGACTTTTTTTTAGAAATAAAAAGCAGAACTATCTACTTGCAAATAGACAATTCTAACTCATCCATAAATGCTGTTTGTGTAAATTACATATGGGTTGTTCACAACCAAATTCTTCCTGTGTCTTTGTTCACTTGTTTTTGCAATCCTTAGTATTTCCAATGAGTCTGCTAAGGAAGCCTCCAGCCTGAAATAATATGAGTTTTAACTCATAACTGTGAAATAGGAATAAATTAAAAACTATCTTCAGCTTTTTTTTCATCATGAACATAATGTGAAAATTTACTGCTTCTTATGTGATCACAGCTATGTGGATATTTGCAAGTTACATGAGGTCTCAGGAGCCTTGAAATCATCATACATGTGAAATTTTAAGAACAAAACAATGGTCATTGACAATATATTTATCACCGTGGATCCTTTTGCTATTTCTTACTTGTCCTGCATAGGAAATGACAAAGCTGAGAAGAGCAGTTGGTGATTTCTCTTCATCTCTGTACCTGGGCCTCTCATCACAGGATCCTTTTCTACACAGAAAGAGGGGAGGCTACTGCTGTTACAAATGTGCTCATTAAATCAGAATTATGCTTCCATTCAAAAAATATTTGCACTTATTTGGATGTTTTTCCTGATGTATTTTTTCTGTCTGTGTTGGTGGATGCATACACTTCAATACATGCAAAGCTTAAATGCACTGAGTGGAAGCCCTCAAAATGCAAATCTTACACTTCTTGAAGCTAGATGTTAGTCTCATATTTGACAGTAAATATTTAGATACATACCCAAAAGGAAGACATTCACATTGCCTTTTGTCTTAATAAACACGGTCCTTCTTATCCTATGATTTGTGATGATTATAAAATGATAAGACAAATGTCAGCAATCTGAGAACATGCTGAATAGCTGATGCAAGAAGAAGTAGTTTTGAAGAGATTTGCAACTGAAAGGTCACCTGGCAGTATGGCAACATGTTTAATGAACCAAGAGTAAGCTAGTTTAACATGCTTTTCAAGGGTTCAGAAAAAAATGCCTAGAGTTCCTCTGTGCCTGGTACCATGGCACTGTGTTTGGAGGCCTTTTAAAACAGACAAAGCCCAAGCATTGTTAAAGCAAAAATGACCCATCCTGATGTTCTTCACAAAGATAACTTACAGGATTATATCACAAATGGACATGGACTAGAACAAACGTTTAAGGTTTATGTAGAAAGCTTTACCTCATACCAAGCATGTACAATGACAAATACATTATGGCATCAGCATATTAGCATATTTAGGAGTCAGGGCTTTGATAGCTGCTGGAGAGAAGGACTCTGGCTTTTTATCACCTACACAGCAGAAGGATTTTAAATGTTACCTTTGGCACTTGCTAAAGCATTGACTGCCTCCTGCTTTGATAGCCCATGCAGGAGAGAAGGTGTTAATCCCATGCTGCAGCTTCAGTTAGATTCTTCCAGTCTTTCAGTTTACAGTTTGGGGGCTTAAAGAGAGTCAGCATTTCCTTTTACCAGGACATGCCTCCAACATATTTATAATGCCTTTCTCAGGTTTCTTGGTTTTTTTGTTTTTTTTTTTTTTCTATTTTCTAAAATGTGTGGGGCAAAGAATGTCTTTCTAAATAACATAATAGGAAAAACTTTGTCACAAGCACAGGCTAAGTATATCTTATTCACTTAAGTTCTTGTCCCAAGGAGAGACTTTTGAAAGTCTCTGAAATGCATGTCCTTAGGCTGATGTTGCTAGACATCCGTAATAAGTGTTTCCTTATCAGACAGGTGCCCTGTGCTGCTTTGATTATTGGATATGGGGACTGGGATTGCTTCCACTTTGCATAATTCAGCTGCAGTTATTTGCTGAGACCAGTGCTATTGTCTTTACTCATTGGCTTCTTGTTGTCAGCCTTAATAAAACTCTTGCAGAAATACTCCATAGAAATTAATCTACTGCCAAATATTAAGAGAGAAGTAATACGGCTGAGGCAGAACATTTTAGTTCATTACAAATAAATCTTTCAAAAATCAAATCTTTATACAGCCATGAAGGATACAGAAGAAAAGGTAAAGGATCACACCTCCTTAAAATACTGCTTTAAATTGTATTTTTATACTTAGCCAAAGAACTATTGGTAGCTTCTGATGAGTTTTCAGAAGAACAATGAATAAAAAGTTGAATTAACAACCATGGTCCAAATGATGCCATGGTATTTGCAGTTTGAGCACTGTAGAACTTCCTGTGTTCAGTATTTTCTTCTTAGTTATTCCACTGGGTGGCACAACTCCTACATTGCCTTTTTCAAAGATATCACTCAATATTTGAATATGTTAAATTATTTTACTGTATTATTTTGTGTTGACATCTGCAGCCTTGAGTTGTGATCACATTGCCTAGCCAGAGGAAATAGGGAATTAAAGTAATTGGGAGGCAATTGCTACTGTACTATCTTTAATCCAAGACATAACCTACACCCCCCATCCTCTCTCTCCCCTTCCATCCCCCCTCCTCCCTCTTCCAAATTGTGGTTATCTGACTTGGAACAAAATCTAATGTGTTAGGAAAACACATAGATCAGACCTTAGGAGCAGCTAAAGCTTTCCACAAAGTGCATTGATTTCCAGATAACAAAAAATTGTTTGCCCCCTTAATGAGAACTGTTTGTCAACCTGTATTTTAAAAACTTCTCCTGAGACCCTCATGCTTCCAGGGTGGGAGGATAAGGAAATTGTCCTGCATTTTGGATGCATCCACCCACAGTCTTTTATTTAATCCTCACTAATGGCAAGGAAGAATTCTAGACTTCCAAATCCTGTCTGCTCAGAGAAATGGCACTTAGGACTCATGACAGCATTTCTCACCACGTGGTTGCCTTGCTGATGCAGATTATCTGGGTTTGGCCTTCAATGTTATAAAATGTTCTGACAGACTCACAAGACTCTGTTCTTCACAGCTTCCCTGATTGTTATTTGCTCTCCAGTTCTTCATCTCCTTAAGGCTTTTCCTTAAAAATAAAATTTAAAAAAACAATGTATTCCTCACCCATGAGCCCACTGCAATTCCCATTTCTAACCCTAGGAAAGACTTCAAACCTTCAAACTGGATGACTCCTGACATGACCAGGCTATCCTGTTACCTCAGCTTGTCCTCAGGCAGGGGACATGCAGTGGCAACAGCAGCACAAGAAACTCCTTTGTGATTACACATTTGCTGCCTCTCATTATGGTTGAGTATGGTTAAGGACAGAAATCCTGCAGTGTTTAAATGAAGGATTTTGTTATAGTGACAGGGATTGTGTGGTATTTCCACATGTTATCGTTTGTATTTGTTCGTCAGGTGCCCAAGGAAAACCCTTCCATTGTGCAGAGATTGTCTCTGTCAGTTCTGCCTCCACCTATATTGAGTGCAGGAGTTAATTTCAGCAAAAACTGAAAGAGGAATAGATAGGACACAAAGGTGTCTAAATGGGCAAAAAATCTGGGTGACTAGAAAAGAGCTGTCCAAAGAAAGATCGCCCTGACAGAACTCACATTATGTATAACATTTGGCTATAGCTAATCAGTCAAAATGTACCTGACCATCCAATTAGAATTTGTGCACTGTCAGATTAGCTATAACTCTGCTTTCTAGCTGTCTCTTGCAGGATGCAGCTGGAAATATTGCTGCAGGAACTAGGTCATGACAGTAGGGGACAAATCTATAAGAAAACCATTTCATTAGTTATGCTACTCATGCAGCAGCTAATTTTAAATGAAGAAAATGTCACACTACTCAGGTTCATGTAAATCTTTTGTGCAGGAGGTTTATGCTTTTATCTTTAAATACACTGTGTTTAAATTTTCAAATTAATATGTTTGGGCTTTGTAGATTTAATTTTCATTTGCTGAAATCCCACTACAGTAGGGTTAGCTCCTTTGTAACTATAAGACAAGCGAGGCTGTAAGGATATCCTATATGGCAGGTGACAGCTTCAGAACAGTAAATCAGGATTATATACTGAAGCTCATTAATTTACCCATTTAAGCAAACTTCTACAATTCATTTTTGTGTCTGGAGTGCTTTAAATTTTCTGCTTTCTTTT